CAGTAGGTTTGTATGTAAAAGAGGAAACTCAGCAGACCCTCTGACTTCCAGATCCACATACAAGCCCACCAATTTCACTCAGCAGCTCACAGTGTGGCCTGCCTGTCCTCACCTTGTGTGCATGTGCAGGGCTGGGCAGGGGCAGGAGGGGGGTACTGGGCTGGTCTGGGTAGGGGCTGATCAGAGAGTGTGCCACTGCGGATATCTTACTTTTTTTCTTAAACACTTTTTTTTATACGTTATTAAACTACACCCATTTACCTCTTTCATGTCCAGGCTTCAGTGATGTGCAGGATATTAGAGAATAGTAACACCCCCCTTCCTGGTAATGACACATGAGCTCCTGCCTCCTCTTGGTATTGACAGATGACCCCTCCTTCAGGAGTCCCTCCTTTAGATAATCATAGATGACCCCTTCCTCCTATAAAGACAGGTGACTCCCCCTCCTGGTAATGACACATGTCCCCCCACCAGGTAATGACAGATGACCCCCTCCCCCCACCAGGTAATGACAGATGACCCTTCCCCCCACCAGGTAATGACAGATAACCCTCCTCCCCACCAGGTAATGACAGATGACCCTCACCCCCACCAGGTAATGACAGATAACCCTCCTCCCCACCAGGTAATGACAGATGACACATCCCCCTCCACCAGGTAATGACAGATGACCCATTCCCCTTTACCAGGTGAAGACAAATGACATCCCTCCCCTCAACAGGTAATGATAGATGGCCTCCTTCCCACCACCAGGTAATGACAGATGACCCCCTTCCCTCCACCAGCTAATGACAGATGACCCCCCCTCTCGATGTATGCCTGTTCTTAGCATGGATCCGATCGGTGTCTTATTACCTCTCCAATGACAACAGTACCAGCTCCTGGACGGTGCTCTCCTCCTCCTCCCTCGCTTAGCCCAGTGACTGCTCGGTGTCCATCCCCACCTGGTTGTCAGCACTGGCACTCTCCTGTCCAGTAGGGCTGGCCTCACCCTGCCCTTCCTCCACTACTATCCGGCTCAGAACTTGAAAATGGAGCCAAAAGCTCTTTGCTCCGGATTCTGTTTTGCCTGTCATAGTGACAGGGAGACAGCACGGACCCCCTGGAGCATGAGCGGGGTCACAATTGTGCTAATATGGTTCAGGAGAAAGTTTTTCAGTTATCCTGTGCAGGCTGGTGTCAACGTCATGGGGTGGTGACTTGCCAGCGCCAGGTTACATCAGAGTCTAACCAATTTCAATAGCCAATTCAATTATGCTATCACATAAGGGGCTAATAGTCCCCTATGTGAAAGCAATAAAGTTAAGTGAAAAAAGATAAGTTTAAAAACTTAAAGGGCACACAATCAATAAACGAACTCCCCCAATTTTTTAAAGCCCCCATGCAGATATACAGAAAAGTGTATGTCGGGTGCACCTACATACAAAAACAATAATTGTACTACACATATTAGGTACTGCTATGCACTGTGGAGTGAGAACAACAATTCTAGGGCCATCATGTACAGTTAACTCTAAACTGATACCCTGTAAAGGCTTTTAAAGTTCTGCTCATGGTCAATTTTAGGTATCATATTTTGTCACTTTCATAAGAGCGCACAATTTTAAGGCTTGAAATATTCACACAATACAACCTCATCTATATTTTTTTTACCAAAATATTGGGTGATATATTGTGTTTATGTGCACTACAATTAACTTTAGTATATTTTCTTAATTTGTTTTAGAGTTTGCATCCAGAAAAAACATTCTGACAAGAAATAATGAGTCTTGTAGTTATTGATAACAAACACAATTGTAAGCATACATGCAACATGTCAACAACATGGACTTGTTCCGAATAAGTAGTAAGGTATCTATGGATAGCAATAGTAGCTTGAATTGCGTTGGGTATACAGATAAAAGCAAAATGATATTACTAGAATTGACGGTAACTCAAGGTACAGAGTCGGTGTCTTTCAAAAGAGCCTGTCCATCAGTCACATAAGCCGAACTGCTGCTCACCAGATGTTTGGTTTCTAATGAGAAATAGACAAGAGACAGTAATAGTTGTAAGGTGGGGAGGAGGCTCTGGGAAACTGGGGAAGGAGGGAGAAGAGGAAGGAAAAAAACTTACAGATAGGGGAGCCATAAAGGGGGCAGCTGGGGGAGACACAACCTGTCAGGAGAAAAAGGTATAAATATGGAGTTCATGCATACTGTAAATATTCATCAGAAAATTAGAAGAGGCTCCAGTAGAACCATCTAGATTGGTGTCCCTCGGATTTGTCTCCCGGGGCTGAGGTGAGATGTTCCATGCACTGTATATCATTCACTCTGGCAAACCATTGTACTACAGTCGGTGGGGAACTTTAGCTTATTTTTTACTGAAAATATGGGTTTGAAAATACATTTTTTTTTAAATGCCACTACCACCATTTTATTCTCTGAGGTCTCTGCTGTTAGAAAAAACATATTGTGTTTGGGGGATTAAACTGATCTTCAGACCTAAAAGATGCATTTTAACTTGTGTGCAAAAATTTTTTTAATTTTCTGGCAGTGAATGGGCATGCTGCTACTATTACTGCTACTTCAGAATACCTGTCCTATGTTTGTGTGATTTTGGGGTATCCTGGTCTCCAAAACCCCTTTTCCTAATTTAATTTCAGCAATAAAGACTAAAGTGGCAGGTGCCTAACTTATTTTTCAAGTACAGCAAGGTCCAGGCCCTGAGATTGAAATGCTAGCCCACTGTGTCACCTGGGGGGCCTCATCCACTGCTCAGAGGAAGAGGGGTACTACTTTATGTTTTACCAGGGAGGCATAGTATTGTGTGAAAAGACTTGATAAGCTCCATGGTAAATATTGTGACATTCCTAATGATGAACACAAAGAGTAGACAAAGTTCACATGTAATCGTTGTAAAAATAATTGTGAGTAGTGAATGTCATGAGATGTTCTATGCAGTGGAAGTCTGACTTCTGGTCACCTCCCTGCAAATAGCGACCACAATGCTATTCTACACCCCATACTGACAAAGTACACACAAGACAAACAACAACTGTGAAAGGAGGGTGTGATACAGGACCGAGTCATGCATTCAGAGCAGAACAAGCTTAATTCAACCGTTTCAATGATTGCATTAACAGAATTCTTTTCTGGGTTTAGTTTTTTTTATGTTCTTGTATTTCTGGGTAACACCCACAGTGTCTAAAGAAAAGGTATGTGATAGACTAAAGGTTTATAGATTACTAAATTATAAACCTAAATGTTTATGTATTTTCTAGGAATATGCTATATACCAGTATCAACTTGTAAGCTACAGGGGGCATCAAATGCGCCCCCCAACATCACCAAAGGACCGCACATAATGTTCAATATATGTAATGCTTGGGAGGACAGTCAGAGACTGCAGACCTAATAGTAGAAATGAGGGTCAGAGAGTGTGGACATACTACATTGTTGGCTCTGGATATGATGCAGAAGATAATATGAAACTGGGAACATGTTACAGGAGGCTAGTTGAGATCAATGATATTACCCTATACAATGTTTCCAGTACAAACTGGTGAGGTCCAAGGATCGCACATCATATACTGAAGGGCCACATGTAGCCCTAAGGCTGCAGGTTGGGTACCAGGGCTATATACACCCCTCTATTATGATACCATTAATGATGAGCAGACATCTATGTATCTGTTCTTCCACAATTCCACTCATGCTTTTTCCATTGGCATATTATGTTTAACTTTCTTTTTCAACAAGAAAAAAAATATTCAAAAATGTTCAAAAGTCACCCACTCCAGCACACCAGATGTAGGAGCTTGTATTGGCTTGCTGTATTCACTATACTGATAGTGGCTCATATGACTGTAAACAAAAAGGCACCAAACTTTTCCATATCATCTGATACCCAGACAACTCTTTGGGCACATGGTATTGAAGATATGGTTGAACCCTTTCGCTGCTGGAGCAGTTTTTCGTATTACATTCAGGTGTGTGCATGTGGGGGCAAGGGCTTTATAAAAATGTTTTTTTTATTATTGTTTGAACTACTATCAAGCATTCAATGTGAAAGCATAATGCAGGTCACAGGTTCTATTTTAACCCTTTTTTGCCTCGCCTATAGTAAAATGATGGCCAGGCAGGACTTTCATCGATCCAGGTGGGTGTCATTACGTCCTTCCGGACCACCACCGTGACTAATCACAACAGGTCACATGACAATTGCCAACAATGGATAGCTTCCTTTCATGTTATCGATTGTACACAATTGTGTTGCTTGCTGTGAGTGGTCACAGTGATCACATGGTACAGACTGGGCCAATCACAGCTCACCGGTGTCATGTGATTAGCTGTGGCCAATCACAGCTAATCACAACAAAACAAACTGAATGAATCGATTTCATTCAGTAAAATTCTTGTTTATAGTAATAAAAATCATAGCTATAAGCAATCATAATGTGTAAAAAAAAAAATACTAATTACTTCCCCAGAGTAGTACACTGTTACTATGGTAACATTATATTACTCTGGTCACAGTGTGTTATCATAAAATAAAGAAACAAAAGTAATAAAAAAATGTAAAAAAATTCCAAAAAAAAAAAAATTTCTTTTCATACTGTCTCCTGGTCAGTGTCTCTAATCACTGCCACACCAGTTATATGATGACGATGTACTGCACTGGTGACAGTATGTAAAAAAAAAAAAAAGTGAAAAAAATGCTGTTCACTTCCCCAGAGTAGTACAATGTTACTATGGTATCATTATATTACTCTGGTGACAGTGTGTTTGATAAAAAAAATCATAAACAAAAGAAAAAAATGTAGTAAAAACATGTAATCTGTCATCAGTGTCCCTGATCACTGCCACACCAGTTACCATATTTTTCGCTCGATAAGACACACTCCCCCCCCCAAAAAAAAGAAATGGGGGGAAATGTCTGTGCATCTTATAGAGCGAATATGGAGCGGCCGGCCCGGTATTCCCACCACCGCCATGTTAATATACCGGGCCGGCCGCTCACCTCTACTGTGCAGAAGAACCTGTTCCTCAGTCCTATCTGTTCCTCGGTCCAGCGGAGTCTTGCTTTCACCGGCCGTCTTCTCTCCCCCGGCGCTGGCATATTCAGTGTGAGCACACAGCTGTGACAGCTTGCGGCTTCACAGCCGGGTACCTACTGCGCATGCGCAAGAAGCGCTGTGCTTTGTGAATGACCACCTGTAGTCTTCTGGCACCTGTCACATGTCCCACAAGACTACAGGGAGTACAACTCCGCAGAAGTGGGAGCGGGCACCTGTCAAGTTTTCGTACCTACCCCCCCCCCCCCCCCCGCTCCCCAAAGGTCTGCAGTCTCTGGTCATCTCCTGTACTATGTCCAGTGGTGTATTTAAGTTTCATGCTGCCCTAGGCAAAACAAAACTGCCCCTCCCACCCACCCTGACACCGACCAACACCCCCCCTCCCCCACGAAGAGAGGCCAACAACACCCCGGCCCCCCAACCCCATTCGAGAGAGCCTTCCACTATCACTCCCCCCCACATACACTGGCAACCCCCCCACCCCAGCAAGTAGCCCACAGCCTCTCTCAGATACCACCTGGTCCCCATGCTGTGTGTGTCCCTTCTTCCATCCCTTCTTTTGGGGGGAGGCACTACCCCCCTGAAAAATGCCGCTGCCCCCCCCTGAAATATGCTGCCCTAGGCAAATGCCTTGAGTATGTCAACAGTCTCTGGTCATCTTCTGTACTATGTCTGCAGTCTCTGGTCATCTTCTGTACTATGTCCGCAGTCTCTGGTCATCTCCTGTAGTATGTTCGCAGTCTCTGGTCATCTCCTGTACTATGTCCGCAGTCTCTGGTCATCTCCTGTACTATGTCCGCAGTCTCTGGTCATCTCCTGTAGTATGTCCGCAGTCTCTGGTCATCCCCTGTACTATGTCCGCAGTCTCTGGTCATTTCCTGTAGTATGTCCGCAGTCTCTGGTCATCTCCTGTACTATGTCCGCAGTCTCTGGTCATCTCCTGTACTATGTCCGCAGTCTGTGGTGATCTCCTGTAGTATGTCCGCAGTCTGTGGTCATCTCCTGTACTGTGTCCGCAGTCTGTGGTCATCCCTGTACTATGTCCGCAGTCTGTGGTCATCTCCTGTACTATGTCCGCAGTCTCTGGTCATCTCCTGTACAATGTCCGCAGTCTGTGGTCATCTCCTGTACTATGTCTGCAGTCTCTGGTCATCTCATGTAGTATGTCCGTAGTCTCTGGTCATCTCCTGTACTATGTCCGCAGTCTCTGGTCATCTCCTGTTCTATGTCCACAGTCTCTGCTCATCTCCTGTACTAAATCCGCATTCTCTGGTTATCTCCCGTACTATGTCTGCAGCTCATTGGTTCAGAATATTTTTCTTGTTTTTCTCCTCTAAAATCTAGGTGCGTCTTATGGTCAGATAAGTATTATGGAGCGAAAAATACAGTATATGATGACAACGTTCTACACTGGTGAAAGTATGTAAAAAAAAAAAATTGTGGACAAAATGTTTCTTTTTATTTCTTTATTCTTCACAAATTTATGACAAAAAATGCCAACTTCAAAAAAACTTCCCATGAATCTTACTAAATACCTCAGACTGTCTGCTTTCCAAAAGGGGTAATTTTGGGTACTTTGGGGGCTTTCTGTCTTGGCATTTTTGGGCCTCAAGAAATGAGATAGTACAGCAGGATTGATCTATTTTCAGATATATACAATAGTTTGTGGGCTCTATAACTTTCCTACAGACTAAATAATATACAATGATTGGGGTTATTGTTACCAAAGAAATGTAGCTGAATACATTTTGGCCTAAATGTATAAAGAACAATTATCTATTAGCAAAATTGTATAACAGAAATGATGAAAAACTTGTTTTTCTTCTCTCGCTCTTTGTTCTTTTTTTTTTGTTTTATTTATTTGTCTTTTCTTTCATTATTGCACTCAGGAAGTTACCTCTTTGAGAGACTGCCTTGTGGTATTACTGGGTGTTTTGGGGGATCATCTGTTTTAGCAGAGATGTGTCATAGCAGTTTAGCAGGGGTCTCAGTGTCTTGGAAGGCAATGACGGTTTAAAATTTTGGAGAATGACGGGTTTGACCCATCACAGGTATGGGTGTACCTACCCTAGTAAATTTAAGGCAGTAATGGTTTAAGGGTCATTTGGCTCTTTTGAGGGTATGTTAATAGTAAATTGTCCCTGAGTCGGTGTACATGCAGCTGGGGACGTCGAAGTCCACTTTGGTGGTAGATACAGCCAGTTGGTTGACATACAAGTTGCCTTCTAAGACCCTAGACTTAATGAGGTCAGTTACTGTACTAACATTGAGGCCAGTTACTGTAATAATATTATAATTGTTATTGTTTAACCACTTCAAGTCTGGACGCTTTCACCCCCTTCCTGTCCAGGCCAATTTTCAGCTTTCAGAGCTATCACACTTTGAATGACAATTGCGTGGTCATGCAACACTGTACCCATATGAATTTTTTAGCATTTTTTTGAGACAGATAAAACTTTATTTTGGTGGTATTTATTCACCACTGAGATTTTTTATTTTTTTTGCTATATAAATGAAAAAGTCCAAAAATTTAGAAAAAATGTTCTTATAAAATTTTGCAAATAAATAATCTTTCTTCATAAATCTTAGCCAAAATTTATTCAGTTATCTTTTTATTAAAAAAATAACCCAAATTAGTTTATAACAAAAATTATAATTTTTCAACATTTTTTTTTACATTTTTATGTTATTTTTTTTATATTATTATTTATGGGTTTTTTTTTTACATGATGTCAACCTAGCAGTACAGTGTCACCATAGTGACACTGTACTACTTGTGGGGGGTGATGAAGATTTTTTTTTTTGTTTAACACTGATTTCTTTTACACCCATAAAGGCTGCAAAAGCAATAATTTCTCCTTCTCTCTGGCTGCATTCTTGCAGCCCATGAGAAATACTGTGCGAGCTGTGATTGGTCACAGCTTGTCACATGGTACAAGGCTGTTGTGAATAGCCTTGTACCATGTGACCTCTGTGATCATTCACAGATTTCACATGTAGTAAGCAATGATGTCAGAAGTGACATCTTGCTTACTACTCTTCATGTGATCACTGATTGGCCAATCAGTGATCACATGATCGGGACCTTACACAGAGATCCTGTACAACGATCGGTGTTCCACTGTGTCCGGAGGGCACAGGGAGTGCACACAAGCAGGGAGCGGGAAGGCCATTTATAAACGGCCACTCGACCCTGCAGTGCTCCCTTCCGGCCGTTTATATACATGCACCAGACGGGAAGTGGTTAATAAAATGGCTGCTATGGCCTCTTTCGACTCCAAAAGAGGTAGCGTCTGTAGTTGTCTGTTGTTTGTGGGATCACAAGTAGATATTGGGGTCTTAAAAGGTAAAAAAAAAAGCCCCCTGCTTGTGCGCGCTCCCTGGGAGCTCACAGCACCGCGATCTGGTGCCCGCTGTATCCTCTGGACACAGTGGAACACCGATCATCGTACGGGACCTCTGTGCGAGGTCCCAATCATGTGATCACTGATTGGCCAGTCAGTGATCACATGCAGAGTAGTAAGCGAGATGTCACTTCTGACATCATTGCTTACTATGCGTGAAGTCTGTGAATGATCACAGAGGTCACATGGTACAAGGCTATTCACAACAGCCTTGCACCATGTGACAAGTTGTGACCAATCAAAGCTCACACAGTATTTCTCAATGGCTGTAAGAATGAGAGAGAAATGATTGCTTTTACAGCCTTATGGGTGTAGAAGCAATCAGTGTAAAAAAAAAAAAATCTTCATCACCCCCCACAAGTAGTACAGTGTCACCATGGTGACACTGTACTGCTAGGGTGACAGTATGTAAAAAAAAAACAAAAAAAAAACATAAATAATAATATAAAAAATAAAATAAAATGTAAAAAAGTTTTTTTTTTTTTAAAATTATAATTTTTGGTTATAAACTAATTTGGGTTATTTTTTTTTTTACTAAAAAGACAACTAAATAAATTTTGGCCAAGATGTATGATGAAATACTATTTATTTGCAAAATCTTATAAGAAAAAACACTTTTTTTCAAAATTTTTGGACTTTTTCATTTATATAGCAAAGAAAATAAAAATCCCAGCGTTGAATAAATACTGCCAAAATAAATCTTTATCTGTCTCAAAAAAATGCTAAAAATTTAATATGGGTACAGTGTCCCATGACCGTGCAATTGTCATTCAAAGTGTGATAGTGCTGAAAGCTGAAAATTGGCCTGGACAGGAAGGGGCTAAAAGTGTCCGGACTTGAAGTGGTTAAGAAAACAGATGTTAGCAGACATCATCTCATGTGTGTTTAGTGCACATCACTACAAGCTACATGGTGTGTATCCAGCCTTAAATGATATATGAGAAAAGGGGTGAGTGTTTGTAGTCCAAATCAGAACAAGCTATAGGGGCAACAATGCTCCTCCATTCATACAGTGTAATGTGTGTTGTCACCCTAGGACAGAAGTGTGTTACTGGCAGGATCACCAACTAAAACAAAGGAGCTAAATGCCTAAAAAATAGAAAGTTATGCAGCCATCACATGCAGGACTGGTGAGCTGCAATATTTTTTTTTGGGGGGGGGAGGGGATTAGATACCTGCTTATGAGTGAGTTAACATGTTATATACCTCTATTCTTTGTAGAGTTTCTAAATATACATGCACATTTGGGCAGTTAATTTGCTCATTACATATTCAGAAAATCAAACAACTCTATGTGGTCTCTAATACCCTGAAACACCCACAATGATACTTCTAGCAAGAGATCTAGCTATTAGGTAATATTAGGAAGCTTGAAAGTAGAGTTTTTTTTTAATTCATATACTTTCCCATGCTCCAGTAACCACTTGGCTAAAATACCAATTTTATTTGACAATATTACACATCTGTACAAAATAGTGCTGTATAGTTTCCTATAAATGCCCAATTGAGTGAGAGATAAGGTGTGTAAAGTGAATCCACTGTAAATAGCCCACCATGTTGTCCAGGCTCCTATAACTGGTCTGTAGTTATCCACACTGTTCAACAACAAAGCTATAGATATTAGAGGACACACTTGTCTTTTACACACGTGTCCTCTAATATCCATATATTTGCTGTGGTTACAGGTTCCCTAACTCCTCCCCGTTCTTAGTACTAAATAGTCATTACCACTTTTTTTTTGAATAACTTTTTTTGATATAGGACAGCCACGTTTTCTTTGTTTTTTCTTTTTTTATTCAAGCTAAGCGGTAGGTACATTTTTACACTAAATACTTGGTACTTATTTGGTGATATTCATATTTATGTCCTAATAATTCGTGCAATGTGTGAATTATAAAGTATCATCACATCACAAACTGAAAATGCTATCCATGCTTTATTTTGCTGAGAAATCACTTGGAAAAACACCCCCTAGCATTTTAGCTCAGGCATGCAGGTAGGAGAGTGTGCTTAAATGAGAAAGGCCATCCTCCCCTCCTCCAAATGAAAGAGAAAAGTGCCCATGAAGATTCTTAGGATGTATGAAAAATTCCCAGCTCACTTACCAATGAGCCTGCAACAAACTGAATTTTCCTTTCTGCCTGTCTGCAAGGCCACTTCATGGCACCATAGTCTACTGCAGTCCTAACTCTATAAATTTTGAGAGTCTCTAAATTTGGAGTGCATATATAATAATGGATAGATTAAGGGCAGGTATGCCTGGAGGGAGCCCACCTCCCTTAAAGGTATAGGGATGTACTGGACACACAGTGGGCCCTGCAGCTTACACATATATTGGCAAATGTGTTCAAATTAACCTCCCTGGTGGTATTCCCGAGTGTAGCTCGGGGTAAAGTTTCAGCACCACAAGCGGTAACCCCGAGCAACACTCGGGAATACCTTACAACGTTCATCCGGGATCTCTTCTTCACTTACCATGTCCTTCGCTCCCGCGATGTCCCTCCTGCAGTGTCCCCTGAAATGTCCTCCGGCCGATGCTGGCATCTTTCTTCTGGGTTCTGTTCCTTGTGACGTCGGGATGTACGGGGGACGGAACTGGCGGGAAATTGGAAAATTGTAAAAGTGACATTCACTTAATTCACTAAAATCACATAGTATAACATTACTGTATCAAACCATTTCACATACATTTTGTACCTAGTGCTTTGTCCTGTGCCCTGCCTGCATTTTTACTGTTATTTCTGCCTGGAAACTGAGAAATGTCCATGGCATCCAAAAAGCGTCCC